TGCGTGCTGCTGATGATATTGAGTAATAAGAAGATGAACCTTCGTTAGTTTCCGTATTGAATACTTGTCGTGTACTCCTGTTGTCAATCATCAATAAGTGTAGGGGAAGTTCTAGTAGTTGTTGGGGTGTATACCATTACGATCAAGTGTGTCTAGAGCTTGGCAGTTCTTCAAGGATGACAAGTAGACAAATGAAGATCATCTGTGGTTCTATGGTGTAACGGTTAGCACTCCAGACTCTGAATCTGGCGATCTGGGTTCAAATCCCGGTAGAACCTATATTTGCGTTTGAGAAGTATTTCTTCCTGGATCGGGGAGCTTTTTATTTCACTTGACGCAGTCAGTTCAGTTGTGCGGTCAAATGCACTGTTACCTACCGTGAGAACGACAACCTATCTATTCGGCCACCATCATCCTCGAGGTATCAAGACCTTAGAATTAGATAAATACATGAGGGCCGAGCCAAACTACACTCGTACTCAACTCCAATCGGTTCAAACATACACAATCAGAAATTGTAATAATAGATACTCCTATTGGAGAAGCTCAACATCATCATCGTCATCATTCTCTCTTTCATTTGCAATCTCCCTCTCACCATAGAATCGATAATAAAACCAAACGCCAACCTGCGCCACTCCAAGGGCTAGACCCAGTACGTTGGGTAAAAATACGAAGAGATCTCGAGCAACTACGGACCAGGCGAACCATATGATCGAACAAAGAAGGGTCATGAAGGAGAGCAGGAAAGGCATGTAGCGAATCGAGCGAGTTCTGATGACGACGCCGATGACAGCTAGGGGGGAGCCGTACCTGAGCATACTCACCTCGTAGGTTTGCTTCCCTAAACTGAGCTCGTCAGTTTCCTCACTTTATTATAGAAATCCACAAACGGTTTTAAACAGAGGTATATAAAAACCAACGATAATCTCCCAAAATTTTCACATGTAGTTGACCATGTGCATATATTCCTACACCAACTCTTTAGGATTTCCCAGAGCGTAGTGGCTTCACTAGGAATCTCACACTGCATTGCGAGTGAGTTACTCTCAAAATACTGCCAGAAACTGATTTTACTGCTGAAATTTCACTTCGAAGATTTTTGAACAATATTGGAGCTCTCTGGAACCTTAGAATCGATTCTACGTTCTTCTCATGAAATTCGGTTCCTCTTACATGAGAGCATTCAAAATGCTAGCGATCGTCCCGAGGGAAATGCTCGTGCTGATGCCAGCATCTGCGGCTCGACACACAATGACAGTCAGGAACAAAAAGGCGGTAGCTCCGAAATAGAGATATACGAGTTGTCGACGTTTTGAAGTAGCAGCGAATAACCAGAAAACCAGACAATATGCGAATTCAACAGTCGCGCTCAGCGTATTGGCGAAAACAATATCGCCTTTGTTCGGAGTAACTCGACCGTAGGCAACCCAAATGAGATTCTGTACGAGTGTGATGGTGTATGGCATTGGAGTGTAGTCACCAGTGGACTTGCTAGTGATTATATCTATCATAGTGGGGAGGGGGGCGAGGGCTAGGCCCATACCAACGATGGCTCCCAGGGCTCCTAGGAGGTGTTGAAGGCTGATCATTGGAAAAAGTGATGGGGGCGGGGATTGAACCTGCGACCTCTTGAAGTGCAACACAATAACGTCTCCGATGGCAACTGTCGTCCAACCATGTGATGAGGAAATCTAATAAAATACCAAAGCATGAGAGACGATTAACATGTCAAAATTGTCGAAATTCAACGGGCAACGAGATACCATAAAAGTCGGCCAACCTGAAAATGGTCTGGTTGAAGGAATTCTCAGCTGTCGGGGTATTGGAGATGATCTTCAACACACCTGAGTTGTTGAATCTTCGAATATCTTTTGCCAGTCGTCATTACACAACATCTTCCTAAATTCACTTCATCGAGTGGCCTCCTCCGCATTCTAAATTCGACTCTACCATGTGGGGATGAATTCTCATCCAACCGTCTGTTGAGGCGTTGGCCATCGAATAATCATCACGAGAGTGATGATGGAGTGTAACGTACCTGTTGGGGGGAAATTGAACGAAATCAGGAGTTCGTCGGCACTAGTGAGCAATACACTGTGTATTCCTAATTGACAAGTCGTCGAGTTCGACGAACTCTCAAACAGAGAGTATACACTATATACTCTTTGTTCGAGACTATAGTATCCTATAAATAGACGAAATATGTATGCTATACATATAGGACATGTTAGGACCCATCTACCTATCTACTATATAGGTTCTATATACTATATAGGTACTTCCCTTATTCCATCCATCCCACTAGACTGATATGACGCAACAGCTCCGCCTGGATTACTACTGTTGGGCAGAGTAGGACGAGATAGTGAGAAGAAGATCATAATGAGAGTATTGATCTAGCTAGTAGCTGATCCTTAGTGACATATGTGCTCAATAGCCATTGGCGGGTCCCTCAAGCATTGCTCTACCTACCGCCTCCAATTCCTCGAGGCATCCCTCGCCTTCGATTGGCCTATATCAGCCCCTATTCTTGATGATGAGCCTCATAACTAGGTCCTGGACTACGTCAAGGGTTTCGGCATCCACCCCCAGGATCCTTGATGAGACATTGCCCAACGTGGTTTGGAGCGACTTTCCCAACTCGAGAGATACGTATCCAAGGCTGCCAAGATTCGACCACGAGGCTTCGTTGACGTAAATAGGCGGAGAACAGTATCCTACTGTGCGTGCCCAACCCAGCCGATTGACCCGTAGCTCTCAGAGTCCGGGCGCACGCCATTAACCTATCCATCGGGAGGGGAGGCATGAGGAACTCACCAGCTCGCCTGTCAACCACATACCCTTTGCCGAGTATGACCCCGAGCATCGGAAATGGTAGCAACATCACTCCCGCGGCGGTATGTAGAACTCTCAGGCTGATAGGAACCAAGCTAACAGCAGGGCCTTACACACCCTCCCTCCGCGGAAAGCAATGACTATATAGTGGGCCTCTGAGAAGGACGGGATGGAGACGCTTCTTGGCACTTCATCCACGTTCTGTACCGCATAGATCTTGAAATCCAACGTGCCCCGGACGTCTCTTGGTCAATTCGCCCCAGAAAGTCCTCGGCCGAGTTCGGGACGAAGAGCTCGTCCTGTAGCACAAAGGCTGATGCGACGCAACATCTCCGTCTGGCCCACTAGTTGTGGGATGCATAGGACTCCTATGATAGGAGGATCAGATAGTAAGAAGAAATTAATGAGGAGACTGACGCGTTACTGTTGATATAATGCGTACGCCTTGATAATACTCCATAGTAAGATGAAGAATATTCCGTTGCAAGAGATCAGTGATCAATTATACGAAACGAGCGCGACGAGATCTTATAACAACACGAGATCTTATAACGAAAGCAACCTTTGCGGTCTACACTGCCTTGCTAGACTAACCGACATCGCTCACGGAGTCGAGCACCCCGAGATGACCATTTCCAACGAGGACTTGATGAGGTCATATGCGGAGTCTTGCTTGGAGATCGGCTTTATCTTCCGGGTTCCTGCAACTTTCCCTGCTCCAGGCTATTCCTGCTATTGTTTTCCTTCGATGACATTCGCGGAAAGAAGGTTGTTCTCTCTCTATCTATCGTCAGAGTTGCGGGATGATCCCGCCGGGATCGCGGTTAGTTTCATTCACGTTGTTTCCGACCTATTTGTGGATCGACAATTCAAGGAGCGGTAGTTACTTTCATTCTTATAGCCGACTGCGTTAACATAAGAATGAGTAGCTCTTGAGTTGTAGAGTGGTGGCGAATGGACATTATATGAGAACACGGTAAGTACGACTTGACAAAGAAGGCGACAACGTAGGGCAACAATGCAGTCGAATTCTACGAAGGCAGATAGTAGAAACGTGATATCAACTATGTATCTATTAGATTGAACCGTTTTTTTGAGTGGAAACTAAATTATACACGTTTGACATGGTAGATTGTACGAGCCATAAGTGAAACGTTTATCAACTCTATCCAGTCAACAGAAAAGGGAGGGACAGCGCCAGTCTGGAGGTGCTGCTGCAGACTGTTGCCGTCTAACTCTACCGACCGAGGGAGAGCTCAGCACCTCTGGAGGATGTCGTGGAGCGGGCTACTACATCCCGTCACCATCGAGCGCAAATGACCAGTTTGCTCATCCTCGGACTGATCAACTCGGATACGACCATTCGCAAGTCGTATGATCGCCATTCAGTGGGCATCGCCAACCCCAAACCGCAGGGTGTCGACGGGGTAGATTGAACCGTGATAAACAACGGATGAAGTCAGGCGAAGTCGGCACGTGCACGTACAATCGACACAATCGTCGGTGAAACCGTCACATCGTCGTGAAAAAAATTTAGTCCAAAATTGTTTTAACTCCAAGAAAGTATTTGGTCTTAAAGTGGTTTGGTCCAGAAGTAGGGCTATCTCCCTAACGGTCACGAGGAAGGCCAACTGTTCTGGAAAAAACTTTGTGCCGCGCGCGAATAATTTTCTACGTGCGCGAACATATCTGCGCGAATGAAAGGAGGTAGTTCATGCGTACATTTCGACGAACAGAAGCAAAACGAATTGCTCATCTTAGTGGCTTACAATGAATCTCCTCGTAACATCATTTTGGTTCTTCTCGTGCGACCTTCTCTACGTTGTAGCAGAAGTGGGCGAAAATGGTGGGCTCGGTCCTGCGAGCGATCCTAACGACGAATACTATTACCTGCAAAAGGCTTACCTGGAGGCCATCTATATACCGGAGGCTTGGGGTATCCTGGACTCTACTCCCAAGAGAACACCTGTGACCATCGCAGTTATTGATGACGGAATCGAGGCCATTCACCCTGACTTGGAGGGTACCGTCATCAAGGGCTACAACGTCGTTAATAAGAATGATGATACCCGTCCTCGAGGACCACATGGAACCCAGATGGCTGGCATCATCGGCGCTATCAGAAATAACAGGATCGGTATAGCGGGTATTCTGGACAGTGTGCGCATACTGCCCATATGTACGGGTAAGGTTTCGACTTGGCCTGCAGTAGCCGATGCTTTCACCTACCTGATCGACAAGAGGAAAGATGATGTGAAAGTTATTCTCTTGGCGGAAGGATCCACATCAACTACTTCCCAAGCCGTTACCGACAAGATTCTGGCAGCAACTGCAGCCGGCATGCTCGTTGTCATCACGGCGGGGAATTACGGCCTGGATCTGGACATAAACCCATTCTTCCCTTGTTCTTACGGCCGTTCACCCACTGATGGAGTGTTGTGTGTGGCTGCAACACATGGTACCAAAATGGAGCTTACGGAGCTGAGCGATTTTGGTCTAGCTGTTGACATCGCCGCTCCAGGATATAAAATAGCTACAACTTTTCTCAAAGGGGAGTACGGCACAGCTTCGGGCACTTCGGAAGCATCCGCTGTCGTAGCAGGTATAGCTGGGATGCTCTACAGTCTTGAACCATCTGTGAAGGCCAAACTTATCCCTGCTTACATCAAAAAGATCATCATGGATACGGCCACCCAAGGTCTCAAGGACAGTAAAGGGGTGAAGACTCTCCCCTTTGGCCGCGTGAATGCTGCGGCGGCTGTCAATAGGATACTTGGAAGAAAGTAGGTTTAATTTTTCACTCTAACTTCGTCTCATGATGATGGTGTCAACGACACCGAGTCACCAGTGAACTCTCGTCTAGCTCAATGGCTTCCCCCTTGCTGGATAGATTCTTGATTTATTCGTTTCATTTATTGTAAATGTGAAGGTCTGATCATCATTTGATTAAGATAATTCTTGAACCCCAACAGCGTCGTGAATTTCAGCCTGGGTCGGTCTTACTTAAGTCGGCAATTATTGGCTCAGTGTTCCAATTATGAATCGTTCTGGGAGATGCTGGTGCATCATCATCATCGATCGCTATCCCAATCCCACGTAGCCCCACTGTGGGGCCCCCACACAAGGTGTCTCTCTCGAGTGAAGGAAAACCTCGGCTGAGCTTATTTTGAATATTTTCCACATCGGATAAGTTCAATCAAGCCTTACAAGTTTTTGCCCTGTTATTAAAACCAGTGCGGCGATATTTTAATCGACAAGCCGCTCATAATTTCCACATTCAACAATTCCCTCATTCCATCATCGTATTATCGGATTGTATAAACAATCACTCGCAACAGTATACAACATATAAAATGCCCAGACAATTAATGATGAAGCGTTCGTGTTGATCTTACAAGCCTCCTTCATCCCTAATAATCTTACAAGCCTATAATAGAGCTACTACCAACATCATAAACCGATAATCCGTTTAATAATCCCGCAACGGGGGCACGTGTACTAAGCATTGGGCGCTTAACCTATGCGTGCCAGCGGAGCGATCGATGTCATGTTTGCCGAAAAAGAGACTGTCTGCAATGGAGGGGACCTTTCGATGGCTTGGTACAGTAAACCCAAATCGCAGAGCATTTATACCATAAAACTTAAAATGTAACTCTATACATGTAACCATGGTTAAGTAGATACTCAAGTACGCCTTGAGTTAAGGAGCTCCTTGAGTTGCTTCTAAACGTTGTGAAATGAGTTGAGTACTTTGCTCCTATGAAACACGCCCAATATACAATAATAGAGTAGTAGACAATAGTAGACTGTGAACTATAAGCGCGGTAAGCTAGTGTAATAATACAGCCTTCTTAGCTTAGTTGGTAGAGCACCCGCTTAGTAAGCGGGAGGTCGTCGGTTCAACTCCGGCAGAAGGCTTATTACGGAATAATGTCTATCTTTCTCGAGGAATTGATGTGACCAAAGCCAAACTTAATCTTACTACACCCCCGATGCTGACCAAGACGTAAAGCCGTCAATTGTAGAACCACCCCGTTACGGGGTCTCCGTAAGAGAACTTCACCTGACGCGACTCGTCAATCGAGTATTTTATAGCTTCCTCGCCGACCGTACCTTCACAAAATAGCTTCATATATCTACAAAATTATTTATCCACTCATTCTCAGACTCAGTCATCATCAGTTGATTCACTCATTGATTCTTCGTAATGCATAGTGTGCATTGCTTACCGACTGCAACTTCGCGCCAAGATGAGACTAAACTCGCAGATTTCGGAGAGTTAATAAAACGCCAATATGAGAGTTATCAATTACTTCAGCATTATTCCTAATACTCCTACAATTCTACATACTTCACTTTATCGGTCCTCATCCTTCATCATGCAGGTACAGTGTAGAATGCTGAATTCGAAGTGAGTGATATTCTTTGGTTGAAATTAGTGACTAACTTCGTAAATATAAATCTCATATAATATGATTTCATAAAATCTCAGATTCACCAAAAACAAGACTAATTGTTAGTCTTGTTTTTGGTGAATCGGGAGATTCTACTTACGAACTGATCGACGAAAATCTAATTTCGTTTGAAATTTGAAATTCTATTTTATGAAGAAAATCATTTCACTGGAGTTTAACGACTGTGCATATCACCGCGAATATCGCCTAGTTTTTCACGGAGTTTTACGACGCCACTTCACGTAAAACGGGTTGTTGTGGAAGTGAAACTGCAATTCACTAGAATCAAATTTATTTTTTTATTGGATATTAATAACGTGTAAAGTGTGAGTAAGGCACGTCTGACTTCTTTCTTATGAGTGCATACGTTGAAATCAAGTCGTATATAAAAAAATGCCGCACAAAATTTCCGAATAAATATTTCAGTTTCATATTGCCAACACCAAATCATGATGAAGTCGACATCTGCTCGAATTCAAAGGTAGTTGATGGTAAACAGTTTGGGGAGGGGAGTATGCATATGGTCAACTACATGTGTTGGTGGTGACAATATGAAAATTCTGAGAGGAAATTCTTATTGGTTTCTGTACACTTTTACTCGAGCTTTGGAAACTCCTGAGCTCAGCTGCTGAGGAAAGCGGACATATATTCATACTCCAACACTGTATAGGAAACTCCTGAGCTCAGCTGGTGAGGAAAGCGAACATATATTCATACTCCAACACTGTATAGGAAACTCTTGAGCTCAGCTGCCGAGGAAATCGAACATATATTCATACTCCAACACTGTATAGGAAACTCCTGAGCTCAGCTGCTGAGGAAAGCGGACATATATTCATACTCCAACACTGTATAGGAAACTCTTGAGCTCAGCTGGTGAGGAAAGCGATTACATATATTCATACTCCAACACTGTATAGGAAACTCCTGAGCTCAGCTGGTGAGGAAAGCGATTACATATATTCATACTCCAACACTGTATAGGAAACTCCTGAGCTCTGCTGGTGAGGAAAGCGATTACATATATTCATACTCCAACACTGTATAGGAAACTCCTGAGCTCAGCTGATGAGGAAAGCGATTACATATATTCATACTCCAACACTGCTGATAAATGGTGAAGATTTTTCTTATGAATTCCACAGTTCTCTATGCAGTGTCATATTACAATTTTCGATGATAATAAATTTCTTGAGAATAGTTGTTTGAATTTATAGTGACATTTCTGGATGATTTTCTCGAGTTCGTTCTCTGTTATAATCAGCGTTGGAATACATGCAAATAGTTTCCAAAGCTATATTATGATGATTTTCGCGTAAATTTGGGTAGAAGTGTACTAAAACCAACAATAATTTTCTCGTCGTCATTAACGTATGCAGTTGACCATGTATCGGTACTTCAACAAATTTTCAAAACTCCGTTGAAACATTTTTTAAAAAAAATCATGATTTTATTAGGGCTAGAGAGAGATTCCGTTGCGCAGTGGAGTTTCACAACAACCCGTTTTACAACGTGAAGTGGCGTCGTAAAACTCGGTGAAAAACATACCGATATTCGCGGTGATATGCAGTAGTCGAGTGAAATATGTTTTTCACTAGTGTTTGTCATATCACTAGGGTGGCCGTGAAACTCCAGTGTTGTAATATATGTTCAGTGAGTATAGAAGCCAACACAGTTCCTCAGAAAACAATAAATATTTCCCGAAATTCTTCTCGGAATTTTCTTATTGTCATCACCAACACATGCAAGCGACCATGTGCATATTTTCCAAAACTAGCTTTGAACACTGTTCGATTCGCAACTTCTTGTTCGTCGGATATTTCTTCCACCTCCTCGGTAATGATTTTGGGAGTTTTTTTCGAATTTTGGGTGTAGCGCTGGGTTCGAATGAGATGAACATGATAATAGTAGTCGCGAATTGGTATTTTGTGTGCAGAAGTTTTGTACATGTTTACGTTATGTAGTGTTACTGTTGTCGAAGCGGAATGAAGAAGCGTGGGAAAATTTAACTCTCTGTTTTGGCGTATGTATCTGCTGGATTTAAATCATCTCTGCGTTCCACTGCAAGAGCGCTCCCAGGGTTGCATTACACATGTAAAACTCGATTCTGCGAGCGCCCTAAACTCAACTCAGGAGAGGTGTATTCAACACGCAATGAATAATTATTTGACGATTTGAGTTGCGTATTGTGTTGCTAGTGAGAATTCCGGAGGGAGCGGTATGAAGATACAGCATTAATTGAATTTATGTTGGCCCGACGGAAGATTCTACTCGAATCTGCATTCGACAATTTGGAGCTCCGACCTCATCCGAATCCACTGATTATTCGCCGCCGCCTTCCGAGACAAATGCGCAAACAAGAACTCCTTTCTGAACATCAGTTGGAGCAGAGGGAGCGGGAAAACGGTGAGGAGGAAGGCGAAGCGAAGCGGCCCAGAAAGTGAGCTTAGTGAATGATATGAGCTTGTGTGTTCGTGGGCTTGTGTGTTTAGGCGGACTGTTGCTGAGAGGCGCATTGCGATGATTAAAGAGGAGGAAATTAAAGCTGGGTAAGAGTTGTGAAATACTCTGGGCGGGACTTGAACCCGCAACCTTTGGACTAGAAGTCCAACGCTCTATCCGATTGAGCCACCAGAGCTGTTGGTTTTGGTGTTTGTGATATGTGTCGAGATACTGCAATCCAATAAGCTCGTCTGATGATATCGTGTTGAGATGGCGTATAGCGCGCGAATATCAATGATAATTCAACATTCAAATTTTGTTCAATCATTTTCGTCCTTTTCGATATGAAGACTAAGTAGATGCATATCAGTACAGTTACTGTTCACTTCACTACGTCAGTGTTATTCGAGTCGCTTCTGATTGAGAATATTCGTGGCTTTTGAGGGGAGCTCTCTCTTACTCATCTTCAACAAGATTCAGCGGTCTTGTTGCTTTTTGAAAAAGATGTGATATTAGAATCGGTGCCATCGATATGGGAATATTTTAATTTGAATAATTTATACTCTGGGCGGGACTTGAACCCGCAACCTTTGGATTAGAAGTCCAACGCTCTATCCAATTGAGCCACCAGAGCCATGTATTTGGTCGTGATCATATACGGGTGGTCTATCATTTTCAGGATATTACGCCCAGTTCCAAGCCCGACAACCTCCGAGTAAGACACTCGTATAACATGTGAAGGCTCACTATGTCGCTCGTCCTCTTCAGTCAAGTTGACAAGCTACTACAGAGCTTGCGCAGGTCGCATGAGGAGGGCGCCTCCGTTCAGAAATGGACCAACCTGGCCAATGAAGTAAGCTACTCTCGAGTGGGGAATGTGGAGCCTGCGCCAGGTTCATCATCTCGTTGATGAATTGAAAACTCGCGAGCTAGCGACTGTGTTGATGATGTTCGCGGAGGCCAATTTCGTCGATACTACTCAGTGCACCGCGGCGATTGTCAGAAGGCTTACGGTAGGGTGGGGAACTGAGGGGAGTTATGACAGCGATTTACCAAACGAATAATGGCGGCTTGATTGAACTCAATTGGTATACACTATCGTCATCATAGTTTCAGCCGAGGTATAGGTGTTATATGCGCATGATTGGTGATGATAGGAAAATTCTGGGGGGAAATTTTCGATGGTTTCTGTACCTTTCTGCACGAATTTTTATGTAAATTCTATAATTCTCGAGGAGAATCTCGAGACTCAGCTGAAGAAAGCGAACATATATTCCCCCAACACGAGGGGCACGTTGTGTGATAGCAGCAACGATGATGCAGCAGGATCAGATACGCACGGATGTCACGTCGTGTTTGATGGCTATGATGGCTCTACAGAAAACTGCGGGGATGAGGAAGGAGACAGTATTGGAGGATCTCGCAGAGACGTTTATTCGTTTGGTTTTTGACAAGGGTGTGGAGTCACCCAACGGGTGAGCTCTATTCATGATAATTTCGAAACAGATTGTTTGTCCTACTGGTCTGACTCTATCATCGGGTGCCTAATGATCAATATGTTATGGAGTTTATTCAATAAACTAACCATAACTCCAATAAACTTGATTGTATTTTGCAGCACCTCACATTTTTTGGTAGATTGCCAACTTTCTAATATACTGTTGTGGTCTAATACAAGTATCGCCTTTGGATCCGTCCTAGTTCTCCACTTGACAACTAGACGGGGAAGGCTTACTTTTGGAAGTTTCTGAGAAGGAGATTCGCATCTTACTTCGAAATCGGCGCGCTCTTCGGTTTATGCATAACGCTGTGAACTCGAAAATTTGGAGTCGAATTCAATTTCTATTAGTGCTCATAATTGATATTTTATGGCATTTTTAGTATTCGATGAAATTTCCAACAACATGACAAAACTTCTTCACCAACCCAGAATGTGTTAAAGCATACTCCACATCGCTTTGTGCCAGATACAATGTGGAGAAAATGACGTTTGCTGATCTGAGGTTGACTGCGGTTGCTCTGGCGAAATTACCCTTTCTGCATGACCGACTCGAGTGGTGGTTCGTGGATGAGCTGTGAGTTCCATCGTGGATCAATGATTTCGAATTGTGATGCATTTTATTTCGCATCAATTCGGTCAGGTTCAATCGTTTGAGTGAGAAGATACCACACGTGAAGGACCCGAGGATGCTGCTCTGCATTCTGTAAGTGTGATTCATCGTAGACTTTTGGCGTAGTGGGGGAGCGCTGGTCTTGATATCTGATGGTCGTCGGTTCTAACTCGGGTGTCGTCATATGCGTTTTGATATCCCTACTCCAAAACTCGTGATTGGGAATGTTGTTCTCTTTGCTCAGACACGCTGGTGCTAAATTGAGAGTTCCTCCTTCCCACTCGTGTCTGCTCGCCATCATACCACAAATCCGCCTACTCTTGCTCTCGAGAGTGCCGACCACTGTTAAGGATGACT